GCGGTGCTTAACACCTGTAATCCCAGGTCACTTGGGGGCTGAGGTAGTAGATCATTGAGGTCGAGGAGTTCAAGACCAGCCGCCAAACATAGTAAAACCCCGATCTCTACTAAAACTACAAAAATTAGCTGGGCATGGTGGCGGGCTCCTGTAGTCCCAGCTACCTGGGAGGCGGAGGCAGTAGAATCACTTGAACCCAGGAGGTGAAGGTTGCAGTGAGCTGAGATTATACCACTGAACTCCAGCCTGGGCAATAGAGACTCCTTCTCAAAAAAAAAAAAAAAAAAAAAAAAAAAGGAAAGGAAAAGGAAAAAAGAGTAAAAAGAGTAAATGACCAAGATAAAAGTATATAAAAGTATGACAAGCACAACTTTCAAGAATGTAACTATCACAAAAAATCACACTTCTTTAGAAAACCAGGCATCAGAGACAGCGAAGTAAGCAGAGGCGTTCACATTTTCAACACTTTGGAATTACCCAGGTCGGCGTCTAGGTGAATGCTGCTTGTAAATTCGGTCCATGCTACCTTGGAGATTCATGAGAGCAGTAATAGCTTGGTTCAAACATTCTCTGTCTTCTTGTTCTTCACTACATGCTTTCAATTGCTAAGAAAAAACAGAAAGAAAAATCAAAACTGCACTGTTTGATTCTTCTCCCAACTTTCTAGTAATAGAGAAAGCAGCAACAGATATTATCAACTCTAAATTAATTTTATATATACTTAATAAAGACAGCTATAATTTTATATATACCTACTGACCTCTCAAACCAACTCTCTTTCTTTTTTTTTGGAAACAGGGTCTTGCTCACTGTGGTCTTGAGCTCCTGGGTTCAAGCAATCCTCGGGCCTCGGCCTCCCAAAGTGCTGGGATTACAGGCGTGAGCCACCACGCCCGGCCCACCATTTGAAATATTTCTAAGAGCTGAAAAGATCTGTGTTATAAACAGACTTTGGGGAGTACTCTTATTTGAAGAGAATAGTAATACTGCCGATTTAATGCCAAATAAAATATGTTCAATAATTACTTGAGTATTTATTAGGTACTAGGCACTTTACAAAATACAGTTAATTTTTCACAAAATGTCAATATAAGTGAAATACATATTTTTCTTACCGTTCAATCAGTAAGCTCAGCAATTCCTGTGGTTTACAAAATGAACGATATGTGGTAAGAAAAGTACGAACAAAATTGGGATCTGAAAAGGCAGAGCATAAAACAGGTTTCATGTTTAATGTATTCAGTTTAATTAACTCAAAGTACCATATTTGGAGGCCTTCCTCCCTTTTTCTTTTTACTTTGGCTCCTCAGATTGTGGCTCTTCCTGACAATCATGGTACTGGCAGGATACCATAGTATCCCTGCCATATATAGAGAAATACTGACATAGAGAATATACTATGGTATATTCTTAATAAATGAGAATTGTTTTCAAATTCGAAATTCATGAATACATATATTTTATTACTATTCAATAATTAATGAAGTTAACAATATTACATTTTTACACATTTAATTCCTTCTCTTATTTATTCTTTTTGTTTTTGCAGTATTTTTGTATTTTGGAGGCAATCCGTTTTTTCTCCAAGCCTCAAATATTTTTGAGCATCCTTAAAAAGCTTTTGGGTCCCAGGCCCTAGGTCAGCAGATGTAATGAGTTTCACATACCTGCATACATATGATATGTTAACCTTTCAATTAACTTCACTACAGTTCCTCCTTTAATAATGGGGATGCCACTTCTACTTTGCAAGTTGTCTTCAAAAACAATGTTTTCCTCAGAGTCTTTTACTACAAAACGATATACTTCAGGACTTGGTAATCTCAGTGGTTGCTCATTTTCTTCTTTCAGTAATACTGAATCTAACATTCGATCTAGAGTACTACGATAATGAAGAGAAATAAGGGCTGCCATCCAGTTGTTTTTTTCTTCAGCAGACTTAGCAGCAAATACTACGCTGTTCTCATCTTTGGATACTAATTCAAAAGCATGCTTGCACTCACAAGTATCTTCTTTATCACAAATTTGTATTTTCCTCATGACAAATTTTTCTTTTAACCTGTATTCTGCACTACTGTAACCTGGAAGCCGAGTCTGGCCATGATTAGGTTTACAACTGATCATTAAGCCATCAAACAGAAAAATATGCCGTTCGTGTTTGGCACCGATTCTTGTCAATGGTCCCTCCATAATGAATTCATTACAACACTGTCCAATATCTTTGCCTTCCCATCCATCGATATTTTTCTGAATTTCATTCATTTTTTTGATAGCCAGGTGTTTGCTTCTTAATTGGTGACTATAAAAAGGGCAAACAGGATCTCTAAAAAAACAAACAAACAATAGAGCTTATTCAATAGCTAGGCAACCCAAATGGTTTCAAGCATAAACCATCTCAAACCATGTGAGAAAAATATTAAATAACCAATCAGTAGCTTTTATACACAGCATTTAGTTCTAACTTTGCCACTAAATAATACATCCCTCAATTTCATTATTATGAAAGAGAAGTACTACTGGCTCTATAAGAACTAAAATTACAAAAAATCCTAAATTTCTTTCATAGATTATACTTTTAAACATTTATTAAGTCTATCTTAATAATATAACCAGGGAGGACTTAATCTTTTTTTTTTTTTTTTTTTTTTTTTTTTTTTGACAGACGAAGTCTTGGCTCCCCTGTCCCCAGGCCTGGAGTGGCAATGGCATGATCTGTGGCCTCACCCTGGGCACCTCCCTGGCTCCCGGGTTTCACAAGTGATTCTCCTGGCCTCAGCCTCCCGGAGTAGCTGGGATTTACAAGGTGCCTGCCCCCATACACCTGCGGCTAATTTTTGTAATTTTTAGTAGAGACGAGGTTTCCACCCATGTTGGGCCAGGCTGGTCTCGGGAATTCCTGACCTCCAGGCGATCTGCTACCTTGGACCCCCTCCCAACAGCAGAAACGCTGGAATTACAGGCGTGAGGGCAGCTGCGCCCAGCAGTGGCTTAAGACTAGGCCGGGTTGGGACAGGTGCCCAGTGGGCTCAGACGCTGCATCGCCAACACTTTGGAGGCCCAAAAAGCGCAGATCCACCCCCTGAGGCCCAGGAAGTTCAAGACATGAGCGGGAGACTGGGCAAACATAGCAAAAAACCCCTGGTTTCAACAAAAATCAAAAATTAGGCAGGTTGTGGCTGGCATGTGCGCACCCAAGCTATGTGAGTCCCAAGCGTACTCCAGAGGGTTGAGGGGGGCCCAGGAGGACCCACTTTGAGCCGCAAGGATTGAGCCGCCTCGTGAGCTGAGATCACATCCCACCCTGCCATCCTCCCAGCTGGGGCAACAGAGGTGAGACCCCTGTCTCCTTAGAACAACAAGAAAACGGTTGGCCCACATGGTGGCTTACACCCTGTCAATGCCCAGCACTTTGGGAGGCTGAGTAGGTAGATTCATTGAGGTCAGGAGTTCAAGACCCAGCCTGGCCCAAATACGTAATAA